ACAAAATTAGAACACAAAATCATAACAAAATTGACCAAAACTAAAAAGAAAATTAAACTAGAAATTATCAATTATGAGAACAGAAACACCAAGAAAAAGATTAGACAAAGAAAAGGAAACAAAACTCATCAGACTGCCTTCGAATTTGGTGAGTTTCCTTGGCATTTTTAGGTCACAACTGTCCTTAATCATGTGTTTTCATGAGAAAACACATGATTAAGGGCTATTTGTCACGACCCCAAAATCCCGGTCGTGATGGCGCCCGGCCGTGAGGCTAGGCAAGCCTGACCAATTCCCATAAAGCGCCCAACAAACATGAAATAATAGAACAATACCAAAACATAAGGTCATATATACAAAACGACACCCCAGGAACTGGTGTCACAGGTCTGAGCCTCTAAACATGAGTCAAAGTGTAATACAAAATAGCTCCACAACTGGGAATACACTAGAATACTGAAATAGATACATAAAGAAGGAGAGTTGATGGCTGCGGACGCCGTGCAGCTACCTCAACACTCCTGAACTGATACTAGCTGCCCTCCAAGTATCTACTGTGCCTGGGAAGGTCCTGGATCTGCACACAAGGTACAGGGAGTAATGGGTGAGTCTACCAACTCAGTGAGTAATAAGGGTATATAGAACCCGAAAGAAAGAAACATAGTAAAACACAATATACAGCTATCCAGCAATCCTGCACAGTGCCATTCCCAGAACTATACATGTATATCAACTGAAAGTAATGTCATATAATGACCCGTAGTATATATATAACTCTAAGCCATAACACACAGTGTCTATAGTTACCACTGTTGTACATTAGGATACACGGTGTCAATAGTTACCACCGTCTTACATTAGCTTTCACGGGGTCGACAGCTACCACCGTTTCATTATGATATGCAGTGTCAATAGTTACCACTGCTTGCATTTATAGTATCCGGTGTCCATAGTTACCACCGTTTTCATTTATGATATGCAGTGTCAATAGTTACCACTGCTTGCATTTATAGTATCCGGTGTCCATAGTTACCACCGTTTTCATTTATGATATGCAGTGTCAATAGTTACCACTGCTTCCATTATAGTATACGGTGCCTATAGTTACCACCGTTCCGTTTAAGAATTTCATGTCATAATATTGCAAATAAACGTATCCCTGAAGGATTATCATTCAGCACGAGGCCCCAAGTATGGCTCCAAGCCTACCACCATCCCTACGGGATTATACATATTGGCACGTGGCCCCAGACAAGGCATTAAGCCCATATGTCATCAACACCAACAACAAGTAAAGCGCTAACCACAATATAGGTCACTACGCGGATTAAACGGTATTCATTTCACAACATTATCGACCCCGCACTACCATGGAGTGCGTGTCCAGCTCACAATAGCTTCACAATGTGATAATACGAGGTCTCATACCCTCGGATAAAATATACGCCCATTACTCACCTCGAAATGGCCGACGAACTAGCCCGCAATAGCTTTTCCTTTTGATTCCTTTCCAACGGGCGTCGAATCTGTCCAAATTCACACCCAATACATCACAAGATGTCAATGGAACATAATCCAATTGAAATATCTCTAAAAGCATTGAAATTTACGAAAATGACAAAACCCGAGCCCCGGGCCCACGTCTCGAAATCCGGAAAATTTAACATCATTACGATCCTCATCTCGCCCCGAGTCTATATATACTAATTTCATCAAAATTGGGGTTCATTTGACCCCTCAAATTCACATTTAAAGAAAAATGGGTTTCAAGCTCAAAACCTCCATTTTTAACCATTAAACTTGATTTCTTTGTGTTTAAAATTCATGCATTACACCAAAATCACATACTTGAAGCTTAATTCGACTTACCCGATGATCCTTCTTGAATTCTCACTAAAATCGCCTAAAATAGTGCCTTGCCCGAGCTTCTTTTCTTTTCTTCCAAAATAAGTGTTTTAACATTCTGATCCTTTAATTTCTCTGCGATTTCCGCTTCAGCGGACAAAAAATCCGCTCCTGCGATGCCGCTTCAGCGGAATTATTTCCGCTCCTGCGGAATCTCCTCAAACTTATCGGAGACCGCTTCAGCGGCCAAAAATCCGCTTCAGCGGTTCCGCTCCTGCGGAATCTCCTCAAACTTATCGGAGACCGCTTCAGCGGCCAAAAATCCGCTTCAGCGGTTCCGCTCCTGCGGAAAAACTTCCGCTTCAGCGGTTTTCCTCCTTTTCTCAGCGACCGCTTCAGCGGTCAAATTCCCGCTCCGGCGGTTCCGCTGTTGCGGAACCTTTTTCCGCTCCTGCGCTGGCCTTCCGCTTCAGCGGCTCAAATTCCGCCTCAGCGGCTCCGCCTCAGCGGCCCTATTTCCGCTTCAGCGGAAATACCAGAAGCAGCAGTGCATTATTCCAAAAATCCTCCGTTTGCACTCCGATTTCACCCCGAGGCCCCCGGGACCTCAACCAACAACACAAACTCATTCTAAAACATCATTTAAACTTGCTCGGGCCATAAAATCACCTACCTTAACATCAAAATCCTCAAGAATTCAATGAATTCAATTCGAATTGAACTTAAACTTTCAATTTACAAACTCGATCAAAAACTCGGCTTAGACATCTCCGAATTGACTGAAAATTTGCACACAAGTCCGAAATCACCTAACGGAGCTAGTGCAACTGTCGGAATTCCATTCCGACCCCCGGATCAAATTTCGACCTATTGACCGGATTCTTTCAAATTCTAACTTCGGCAAACTTAGTTAATTTCCACCCCGGGCCTCCGAATTCAATTCCGTTTTCTCTCCTAAGTCACAAATCATCCCCCGGAACTAGTCGAGCCATCGGAAATCCGTTCCGAGCCCTCTAACTCGAAAGTCAACTTTGGGTCAACTCTTTCCATTTAAACCTTCCTTTAAGAGACTAAGTGTCTCATTTCTATCCGGATTCCACCCGAACCATCCCACACTCGTCCGACACGGATATCAACACACGGGGAAGCATATTACGGGGGTAACGGGACTGAAATGCATTAAATGACGGGTCGGATCATTACACTATTACAGCCCAAAATCGAAGAATCCCCAACATTAGGGTTTTAGGGTTTTTCCGGCCAAATTTGGATTTAAAATTTGAAAAACTCCAGTAATATTCAAAGCATTTCAGTTGGGATTGGGGATGAGGGATGTCAGGGGAGTGTAGGGTGTGAATTTGGGGTCGTTTGGACAAACTTGTGTTTTGGCCGAAAATTTCGATTTAATATTCGAAACGTTTGGTTATGACTTGAGAGAAACTGAGACTAGACATGGAAAGAGGAGGAGGAGAGGAGCCTAGGGTGTATTTTTGGGTCCCATTGGAGAATCGCCGCCGGCGGAGGCGATTTCCGGCCGGCGACAGACGGTAGAGGAGAAGGGGTACGAGGAAGACGAGTTTGGTTTAGGGTTATTGAAGATTTTTCGGACACTTTTATTTAATAATCAAGAATGAACCTTGGCCGTTGGATTGAACTGGATGGATGACCTGGATTTAATTTGGCCTTTATTAATTCAAAACGACGTAGTATGCTTCCTATACTACGTCGTTTCGTTGGTCTCAAGGGTATGGGTGTCTGGACTGGGTTATAGCAGGTTTGGAGGGAGTTTTGGGCTGGTTTTCAGTCTGATTTTGATTGGGTTATTAACAAAAATGGCCCAATGTTTGGCCACCCCCTTTTGCTTGCTTATTTTAATTTCCTTTTTATTTATTTATTTCTTTTCCTCTTTTTTTTTTTTTGAATTTTGGATTTTATTAAATGCAGAAATTAAAAGTAGTCAAAAACCTTATTTAACTCTAAATGAGACTAATTAATTTTCCGAAAATTAACTAAATCCTAATTTTAAGAGAAAAACAAACAAAAACAAAACTAAAGGAATAAAAATGTAAAAGGACTATTTTGTTATTTGTTCCTTATTTCAATCCTGTTTGATTAATCTAAAAATCTAGAATTAAGTCCTAAATGCAAGAATGCCATTTTGTAATTAATTTTATTTTTATGACAACTAAAATGCACACATAAAAATGCAAAGAAAAATCATGCAATTAATTCCCAAAAATTTAAACACCAAAGAAAAATTCTAATTTTAAACGGATTTTATAGGAGTAATTAAATGAGGCAAAAATCACATGCTCACAGGAGGCATACTTTTAATGTGGATTTATGATGTGCAATTAGTTGAATAAACACAAGAATGAATTGGACAATTAATTATTTTCTCTCATAGAGCATAACATGATCTAATTTCACTTTTAACATGACATGTCGATTTTATTAGCTACTCCATTCAGTTCACTTTAATTGATTTTTTTTAATTATTTTCACACATTAAAGAATCAATCTTTTAACATTAATTAACAAGACAATCGATTATATTAACTTTAATTTGTTCATTGAAAATATAACAAATACTCCTAGGCTCTTTACTCGAAGAGCAACTTTAAAAAAAAGTTAATTCATTCTTAATATTTGAAAAAATTAAATATTGTATACTACAAAAAGGGAGGCAAAAAAAATTAATTAAAATGGACCGAAGGGGAGTATAGTTCTAAAAATTTTCATTTTGATTGAATGCATTGTTGATTACTCCCTCCGGTTCATAATAAGTGACTAGTTTTCTTTTATCACGCCCATTAAAAAAATACTAAATCCTATATAAAAATACCTAGTATGACTAAACTACCCTTATTAAATATTGGTCACATAGTTATAGTGAGGAGTGAGAAAACTTTTTAGGGATATGAACATAAGAGTAAAAGAATAAAAATAAATTAAATTTTTTCTTGATGACATAATTTGACACTTATTTTGAACCAAAATGAAAAAGTAAACTGGTCACTTATTGTGAACCGATGGGCTTAATAAATTAAGCGCGCGCCGTACATTTTGGTTGTAAGTTAAGTAACCTTAACTGGTTATATGACAAGTAACTAAAAGTATAGTAGTTCAAGATTTCAAGAGTGTTACATTCACTATAATTAAACCTTAAACATTAGTTATTTACGATTTCACGTACACAAGAAAAAGAAAAAGAAAAAAACACTACATGACATATCATCGTACTTAATCTCCATTGCACTGACACCTATTTTTCAAACAGAACCAACTGCAGTAGTACATACTACAAGTCTAGTTCAAGAGACTCAAAGTGTCATAACATTTTGTGGTAGAAGGATCTTTCTTAGAAAGTAGAGAATGAACAAACTTGCAGTTAGGACAAGAAGGAGAAGACTGTGACACTATAACTAAGAGATGACAATTTGAACATGGTAAAGCTATCATACTGCTACTGCTGCTGTTGTTGTTGCTGCTTTTGTTCTGCTTCTTTGAGTTATAGTAGTTATGATCATATTCCATTGTTTCTTGTTGGCTGAAACTTGATATGTTTAATTCAAGGTCTAGCTTTTGGTCTTTTGGCCAATCCCATGTCTTCCTCAATGTTTTCCTATTTAGGTAATACATTCTCCCTGACTGCAATTAAACACATGAAAGATATATCCTTAGTCAATAATTCAAAAAAAAAAAGGGTTAACTAATGAGTTTATGTTCTGTGCATCGATAGTATATATAGTTTTTATACAATCAAAGTTAAATTGACCTAAGAAATAGTGCAATAACTTGCTCTAGTCAGCTTTATATTGTCGGTGTATATAACATAAACTGGACAATCCAGTGCATTAAGCTTCCGCACTGCGCGGGGTTCAGGGAAAGACCGGACCATAAGGGAGTATTGTATGCAACATAAACTCTATTAGAGGACAGCCTGGTGCATTAAGCTCCCGCTCTGCACGGGGTTCAGGAAAAGACCAGACCATAAGGGTCTATTGTATGCAACGTAAACTCTATTAGAGGACAGCCCAGTGCATTAAGCTCGCCATGCGCAGGGTCCGGAAAGAGCCATACCATAAGGGTCTATTGTATGCCACCTTAACCTGCCGGGGAAGGGCCAAACCATAAGAGTTTATTGTATGAAGCCTTACCCTGCATTTCTGCAAGAGGCTGTTTCCAGCAAGAGGCTGTTTCAAGGCTTGAACCCGTGATCTCCTAATCACATGGCATCAACTTTACCGGTTACATCAAGACACCCTTTGTAATGTAAACTCTATTACTAATAGAAAAAGATAGAATTGAAGTAAAAAGTTAGGAGAAAGAAATTAAAGGGTATACTTCAAGATCAAGACATTGTTCCCAATCCAAAGGAAGAGGGTCTTTAAGTTGAAGATCAACACTTGCTTGAATCATTTCTTGCTTTCTCTTCATTGGAAGGTTGACTACTTCAGATTCATAATTGTAGCTTTTACCAATAGATGGAGCCAAAGAAAGTTCAGGAAATTCCATAACTATATATATATATATATTCAATAATCTCTCAACAAATTCATCAACTTGTTTTTTCACCTCTTCTTTGCTTTGTTATGGAGTGTATATACTCTTATGTCTAGGCAGCAAACTTATAGGAGGGAAATAGAAGAGAAAGGACAAGCAAAATTTAAAGCATCAGGAGTTGGACAAACTAAATTCCTTTACTTAACTTTGATATCTAATTTTTTTTTTTTTGGCAGAGGGTCATGCAAGAAGGTGAGTATACTTAAATTGCCTTTATCAAACACATTAAAAGGAGGGCAGGCCAAGCATTAAATGAGACAAGTAGATATCTCTTTAATGCCCCAAAATCCTACTCTCTCATATTGCATTTAAAATCCCCTCTACAGATGAAACATTAACACCTCAATTTATTGTGGTGTTTGCATTTCAACAATTTCCCTTTAATGAAAAGGAAAAATATAAAAAAAAATATTAAATAACATTAATTATTTTCCTATGCAAGGTCCTTCTACTGTGACCTGCAAAATAAATTTTGTTTTCTACTCCCTCCAGTTCACTTTAATTGATATTTTTTGACCTCTTTTTGTACTCCATAATATTTGATTTTTTCGAATATTAAGAAGGAATTAACTCCTTTTTTTCCAAAGTTTTCCTTAAAGTAAAGAACATAAGAATATTTGTTATATTTTTAATAAATAAATTAAGGTTAATATAGTCAATTTTATTGTTAATTAAAACTAAAAAATAAATTTATTAATATGCACGAAATCAGTCAAAAATCAATTAAAGTGAACCAGATGGAGTAATGTTACTCCCTCCGGTCCATAATAAATGACCAATTTTATTTTATTTTTATTAAAAATAAGTGTCCATTTATATAATCAAGAAAAAATTCAGTTTGTTTTTACAAAATTACCCTTATGTACATATCCATAAAAAAATTTCTTACTCCTTACGTTAAATATTAAATTAAAGGTAGTTTAGTCGTACGAGGTATTTTTGTATAGAATTTAATATTTTCTTAATGAGTATGCCAAAAACAAATTGGTGACTTATTGTGGAACGGGGAGAGTAATACTTATTGTGCCTTGTTAACGAGTGGGACTATGACGTTAGTTAAAAGCACCACCTTCATCTCACATAGTTCATTCATTAAACAAGACAATTAATGTCTTCAATTATCAAAACGAAAAGTACTGTATCTAATATCATTTTAATATGTTCAAGGTATTAAAATATAACAGAAAAGATAACTGCACATAAATGAAGAGGTTAACTGAAGTCTCACTAGAAAGATATGGATTAATTCATAACTTAAATTTTAGCATAGGAGAAACACAAAATACAACCGTGAAATGACATGACGACCGAATCATTCGGAAAAAAATGTTCCGCGATCAAGTGTTTTCCGATCGATCGTTTTCGGTCGGCCGACCATTTCTACGTTCCGAAATTAACCATTTTCTAATATTGAGAATTCACATCATGGTAAATTTTGCCATATTATAACACAACATGTTGCATGGCACAAGGGAAAAGATAACCTTTTAGGTCACTATTGTTGTTTCTCTCTCTCGTGCCGTTTTAGTAGTGTTTGTGAATTTGTAATTTTAAGGATGGAATAACAAAAGGTAAATAAAGACCTTAGCCAAAATTCAAAAGTAAGGGATTCTCAAGGGCCGAATGAGAACATAGGCAGCAGGACATCAATAACAACAACGACGACGACCCAGTAAAAATTCTACAAGTGGGATTTGAGGAGGATAGTGTGTACGCAATCCTTACCTCTACCCCGAATGGATAAAGAGGCTGTTTCCGAAAGATCCTCGGCTCAGAATAAAATAGGCAGCAGGACAGGTATTCTCGAAAAAGAAAAAATGAAAACATGCAGGAAGGTAAGAGCGACTAAAGATTATAGGTCTGGAAAAAGTTATTAATCAAAATTTATTTCGAAGTATGTGCCGTGTAAAGTCATTAATCAAAATTGATTTTATTTATATGCTTTTTTTGGTGGTAATTATGAAGAGGATTTTCTCCTTTACACACTATAATAGAAGCTGGTATATCTAGTAGTACACTCTTCTCGTACTCCCAATGGGTATTATTTCCTTTTGTGAATGGACGCATTAACTTCTTTTTTTCTTTTTTTTTTTTCTTTCTGAAATCCTCATTTGCAATTAATGAGAAGTTGGGAAACTGCATCTATGAATTCATTAAAGAGAGGAGTATATATATTATCTACACCTCATTTATTGGTATGTGACAAGTACTTGCATTTAGCCTGCAAACCTAGTTGGATACTCTTCAATTGGGAATTTTTTTTTTTAAGCAAATATTCCTCTAGGCATGATGCCTAATGGCTAATATATATATAAAATCCCAAAATAGGGTCCAAAACCATACAATGTGTCTAATGTGCCGTATAATGAGGCTGCTAGCTACTTCTAATAATAGAAAATAAAATCTAAATAAACTAGCTATTACATAGTGGAATGCGACATGAATCCATCTCCTGTCCGTGTATGTGAATCCAAATGGCAATGGCAAATACCAAGCAGCACCTAAAACTCTCTCACCAGGCGCCAAAGTATACCAACCAATGACCAAATTGAATACCAAACCATAACACCAACAAAATGAACTCATCAATGCTAAAACGAACCAACCGTGCTTCCTCATGGCCCTTACCTCATGCATTGCATTATCATCTCCAGAATGAGTGTGCAACCACACTAATACCACTGGATAATGATAGTACAATACCCAGAGTATAGGTGAGGATAGATGGAGCAACAACCACTTCTCCAAATCTCGTGCCTGTTTAGACAATGTCGTGCCTGTTGAGCCAAACCCGAGCCTCTTGCATGTCGATTCAATCCCATGCCTGTTGTAACAATCCCATGCATCATGCATTGCATCATTATCTCCAAAATGAGTGTGTAAACCCACTAATATACAGAGAATAGGTGAGTATATTTGGAGTAATAACCACTTCTCCGAATCCTGTGTCTGTTTAGACAGTCTCGTGCCTGTTGAACCAAACTCGTGCCTCTTGCCTGTCGAGTCGATCCCATGCCTGTTGAGGCGGTCCCCTGCATCATGCTTTGCATCATATCCAAAGTGAGTGTGTAAGCCCACAAAAACCACTGAATAAAAAATCCCGTGCCCGTGCCTGTTGATATAATCCCGTGTCTGTTGCGTCACTCCCGTACCTAATGCAGGATGCTTTATGATCGAGACTAACAGGGACGGTACAAATAGGTTCGGTCTCGTGGGTAATTTGCAGCCATTCCTTCTTTCCTTATTATGTGAATAATTCCTTTCCTTACTCTTTACATCATGTATCCCGTACCTTGATAGATAGTCCCCAGGCTGAGCATGTGATCCAAAGTGAGTGTGTAAGCCCACTAATACCACTGAATAAAAAATCCCGTGCCCTTGCCTATTGATATCATCCCGTGCCTGTTGCGTCAATCCCGTACCTAATGCAGGATGCTTTATGATTGAGACTTACAGGCACGGTACAAATAGGTTCGTTCTCGTGGGTAGTTTGCAGCCATTCCTTCCTTCCTTATTATGTGAATAATTCCTTTCCTTAATCTTTACATCAGGTATCCCGTACCTTGATAGATAGTCCCCAGGCTGAGCATGTGACCATACTAATACCACTGGGTAACCATTCAACAAGATCCTAGAGTACCTATGAAAAGATTGAGGCATACTAGCAAATGTAAAGCTCATTAGTCTGGTGCTCTTCTTTTGGCAATCCTAACTCTAAGGTTAGGTATTTGAGCTTTGTCCATATTAATTAGAGCCTTTCCTTCTGATGGTAACTCATCGAATGACTGAAATGTGACAGTACCTGCAAAAAAGAACACATGGTTAGCTAAAAAATCCGCCACTTTGTTGCCCTCCCTAAGCACATGCTGGAAAAGCACGTTGTAGGACTTCTTTATCTCCTTAATCCTCCTTACTTCTGCTCCAATGCACCATGGCTTCTCCCATTCCTCATCAATTATCTTCTTCATTACCAAAGAGTCAGTCTCCATGATCAATGGATGAAGTTGCTGCTCAACACAGTACAACAGCCCTTCAACAATTCCTTTAGCTTCAGCTACAATATTTGTTGCCTCTCCTATCTCCGTTGCCTTTGCATACACCAAGTCCCCTCTGTCATCTCTAATAAAGAATCCATATAAGCTTGGACCCGGATTTCCTCTCGATGCTCCATCTGTATTGCACTTGAACCACCTTTCATATGGCAATTTCCATGTCACTTTTCGAGTGACTACAACTGGCTTATATCCCTCAAAGTATCTGATCATATCTGGCCAAAGCATTGGTATCCCTTGGAGCCAAGGATACCTCACCTTTGCCAAATAATACAAAGTCTTATTAACCTCATGAATTACCCTACTACAGGACACTGATCCACCATGCTTCATTGTATTCCTTCTCTTCCAGATTTCCCATAAAATTACTGCAGGAGCTGCCTGAAACAATGGTCTCAACTTTGGGCAGAATTTGGCATTCCACCATACCCTTATCACCTGGTGAACTTGCACCAAATTTGTCAGCAGACGTGCAGCCTGTAAGAAAGTCTTCCATACCTTGGTTGCTGTCTCGCTCGTCAAAAAAAGATGTTGAAATGATTCCTCCTGGGGTGGTACACAACACCAACACTTTGAGACTACCATGTAACCTCCCCTTCTCCATATATCATCTGTGGGTACCTTACCTTTCCACACTCTCCATTGAAAGAAGGAGATTTTGAAAGGTAACCCTTTGGTCCATAATTTAGTAAACTCAAGATTGACCGGTTCCTTATGCCTCATTATTTTCCATGCACTACTTACAGAAAATTTACCTGATGGTGTAGGCATCCACCTAGGTATGTCCCAGAATTCATCTCCATTATAAAAAGGCACCTCCTATCTAATATGTTCTGCAATATCTTCAGGAAAGCTGTGATTCAGCAATTCATCATTCCATTGTTGTGCAATTCTCAAATCAAGTACTTCCTCCAGCTCTTCATTTATAGGGAATTCTGGTGGCAACACATGATACAATGCTCTCAGGCCGGTCCAATTTTCATGCCACACATTGGTAGAACCCCTATTCATCACCCAAAGAATTTCATACTCCTCTTCTTCTCTAGCTTCTAGCATTTTCTTCCATACGTGGGAACCCTCTCTAAACTGAACAACAGTAGGAAGTTCCTTCTTGCAATATTTGTTCCACATAAAATTGGACCATAGGGATTTAGATGTTCTGAACCTCCACCATAGCTTTGCAAATATGGCCTTGGACACATCAAACAAAGATCTAAAACCTATTCCCCCTCCTCCTTAGGTAGACATAGGTTTTTCCATTTTGTCCAATGTCTGCTTCTCCCCTCTTCCTTATTACTCCAAAAGAATCTTGCAAATATCTTGTGAAGGTGTTCCAACACATTACCAGGAGGATCTAACACTGATAAAATGTGTGTAGGAATACTCTGCAAAACACTAGAGATCAATGTAGCCTTGCCTCCTTGCCTCCATAAGACAACAATTTACCTTTCCATGAGTGAAGCTTTGCCTTAACCTTTTGAATCAGATCATTGTAGTAATTTTTCCTTCTTCTAGTGTAAAAGATAGGGCAGCCAAGGTAAGTAAATGGAAAGCTTCCCTTTGATAAACCTGTGATGGCAGCTACAGAGTTCACCAAAGTACCAGACACCTTTGAATGCATGTAGAAGGAGCTCTTTGTCTTATTGAGCATCTGGCCGGATATCCTTTCATACACCGTTAATACATCAATTATCTTCTGAAGAGAGTAGGGATCAGCTGAAGCAAAAATGATAGTGTCATCTGCATAGGCTAAATGATTCAAAGGGTCTGACCATTTAGGCATGCCAAATCCTCTGAATTGCCTAGGGGTGTGCATTCGATTTATCGATTCGATTTTGACCCTTATCGATAATTACTTATCGATTATCGATTTTTACATACGCTTATCGTTATCGTTTCAATAAGGTTTCGATTTATTCGATTTCGATTTATTGATTTTTGGGGCTTATCGATTCGGTTATCGATAACATCAATAAGAAAACTTACACTAAAATTTTGGCTTCTTAGTTCCCTATGTGAATTTTGGCTTCTTAATAACTGGATTGGCAGTGTAGCTGTGTAGTTGGTTTATCAAGAAGAGATTCGCATATTGTAACACTGAAATGGCAGCTTTTACATAATGAAAATGAATGCTACAATATGCATTCATTTTGGCTTCTTAATAACACTGAAATGGCAGCTGCAGACATTAATTGATACGTGAGAGTCTGGTTAAAGCTACACTCACATAAGCAACAAAAGTTCAATTCAAATTAAAGCTGCATATTGTAATGCCCGTATAAGCATATAAGCAGTCCGGCCTGTAAATGAAAGTTGCAGAAACAATCAAGCAATAAAACATAACTAAACCAAGCAAGCAAGCAATAGAAACAAGCCTGCAAATGTAAGTTCAATTCAAATGAAAGCAGCAGACATTAACTGATATGCCTCTTCCCTCCAACTTCATGGAGCTTAGCCATAAGAGCACTTGCATACAAAGAGACAATTGTAGACATAACTAAACCAACTACATCGCAAATATACAACATCTATCGGATGCAATTCACAAACCCAGATACCTATTGGACGACACACAAACTTGATTGGCCGTGTCAACATTAATAATAAGGGGTCTGGACAAGTTAGTATTCGTTTGAACAGTTCAGAACAGCTTCAGAATGCCTTGGTAAGCTTAATTCCACTTGTCCAAAAACTGCTTAGCTTCTTTCAACCAGTGCAATTTTGATGATGATGAAAATAAGGCCACTGCACCATACTGCCATGCAGTGATTCACAAATCACTTCTATAGTGGCCATCAGCTGATCGGCATCACTGAACGTGACTATTTTGGAGCAGTTTTACGATGATTTAAAAGGCAACATCTACAGACAAGCAACAATCTTTGACTAATCAGTGACACAGATGAGTAACCATGTATGACTTCACTGCTTGTAATCACAGTTCTGCAAGCTAGAATGTTGAAGGAACACAAGGATAAAATCCTTAACTTAAAGTTTAAGACAATGGTCTTCTGTTGTAGCTAACTTAGTACAATGATTTCACAAAAATTAGTACAATGATTTCACAAAAACTATATTAACTAGTGGCATTCAAAAACTAATTGATTATTGACAATTACTCAATTACTGTACATGATGCATAAATAGAGAATAGTTTGAGAATTTATATTGTAAGGAGATTAGTTTGAATACAAATGATTTCATATAAAAGGACAGACAATACAAAATATCATAGCACAATACTATTTTTTGTAGAAAACCTTCAAAAGTTATTACTTCAGAAGCAAATTTAACAGGGGAATGATCATGAATTTGATGAACCTAAGGAGAATTAGACAGGTAAAAAGATTTCACACAGTAATCAGCCATAACCACAGAATTTCACACAGAATTTATCTCAGTCCTAAATAACTAGAATCCTGTTTCTAAAGCCATAACCAGATAGAGTAATTATCATTAGTTGACTGAAACCTATTTCACGCAGTAATCAGCTTCACCCCTTCTATTAGTGTTTATAATTAACCTAACATTTTAAAGTGTCCCTGGGAACAGACAAGTTACTATTGGTGAATTACCTGTTTTTCCAACAAACTGATAGCATTGAGGACTTCATGTACCTGTATCAAAATTATAGAACTTATTACTTGTTCCCCACTCCAGTCTCCAGCAAAAATTGTTCTACTATCAATACATAACAATTTTGATATGGAGAACTTACATAGCGGCTAACAAACTCTAGCAAACATCGTCGGTGGAAGCTTCTTTGCCAAGATTAGTAAAATCTAATAAGAATACATATTAACAAGTGAAGCAATTAATATATTATTTAAATTTCATAAGCAATACAATAAAATTAATTAAAATATACATACCTTCCTCGAGTGTCTCGAGATAATCTAAATCTTCCTCAACATTTACAGGAAGCGATTCACTCCGAAGCCAATTAAGATTATACGATATTAAGATTAGGGAATTAAGTAAACTATTGATTGAGCGAAGGGAATACCTGAAGGGAATTAAGTGAACTATGGATAAGGGTATATTTGTCATTTTAGTATTTCTTATCGGTTTATCGATAAACCGATAAACCGAAGAGGACAAATCAAAATCGAAATCGATAAATCGATAAGAAAAATTTTGAAATCGAAATCGAAATCGATAAACCGATAAACCGATATCAATAAACCGATAACAAATAATCGATTCGATTTATCGATAAACCGATTCGAATGCACACCCCTAGAATTGCCTATCTTCAAACAATCTGTTCAATGATCTTGATAGCACTTCCGCTGATAGAATAAAAAGTGAAGGTGATAGAGGATCCCCTTGCTTCACTCCCCTTGTAGAACGAAAAAATCCAGCTGCCTGCCCATTCACTATGATAGAGTACCAATTGTTGGAGATAAGGTTCCAAATTATGTTGATGAAACACTCCGCAAACCCCATTCTCCGCAATACATGTAACAAATATTTCCACGACACTCTATCATAAGCCTTTGCCATATCTAACTTGATCACTACGTTGGCAGGCTTCCCTCTTAACCTTATGTCCGTGACAATCTCCTGAGTCAGTAGTATATTCTCAAAAATACTTCTACCTTTAACAAATCCTGACTGGTTAGCTGAGATCAACGTAGGAATCATCCCTTCCAGCCTATCATGAACCACTCTAGAGAAGACCTTATTTATGAAATTGCTCAAGCTAATAGGCCTTAGGTCAGAAAAGATTTGTGCTTGTGGTTTTTTTGGCAGTAACACCAGATTCGTGTGTGTTATGGATATAGGTAAGGGATTACCTTCAAAGAACAGTATTACCAGAGCATGAATATCTTCTTTGACAATCTCCCAACAAGCCTGGAAAAACAGTCCAGAGAAACCATCTGGTCCACTTGCACTCTCACTACTAAGAGCAAAGACTGCATTCTTCACCTCTTCCATACTTGGCAATCTACACAACTCCAGGTTCTGCTCCGTTGATACCATTGAAGGAACATTATTCAACATATCAAAGCTTGCGGGATCCCCTTCCATAGTGAATTGTTTCTGAAAAAAATCCACAGCTGCCTCAGATAGTTTCTCTAGGTCTTCAATCCATGTACCATCACTGCTTTGAATTCTTTTCAACTTCAACTTTTGCCTCTTCCCATTGACATAATTATGGAAAAATCTTGTGTTTCTATCTCCTTCCTCAAACATGTCATTCGTGCTTTTTGTTTCCAATACTGCTCCTCTATACTCAGGTATTTTTTAAGTTCAGCTTGTGGTTGCTGTAGAACCACCCTATTCTCTGATGAAGGGTCCTCCTCAAACAGCATCTCCTTAACTCTCACTATGTCCTCCCTTATAGCCAATTGTTTAAAAATGTCACCATATGTCAATTTACTCCATTTTGATAGAGCAATCTTGACCCTCTTCAGCTTTTGCTTGAACATCAAGAAAGGGTCCCCTATAAAGTCTGCAACCCAATTCTGCTTCACCACTTCCATGAAAGATTCATGTTTTGTCCAGAAATTCAAAAACTTAAAAGGCTTCACAAATTTCATTGCTTCCTCTCCACAGCTCATTAACAATGGTGCATGATCTGAGCCTGTCCTTATGAGATGCTCCACTTCAATTGTTGGAAACAAGGATTGGAAAGGCATATTCACAAGAATCCTATCCAATCTTTTGAAGATGCATTCCTCATTAGGCCTTCCATTCCACCAGGTAAAAGGACTCCCTTTATACCCCAAATCAAACACCCCACATGAATTAACACAAAAGGCAACGTCTTCATACTCTAGTGGATATACTGGTAGCCCTCCTATCTTCTCATCTTCTCCAAGAACTACATTGAAATCCCCTCCAACTAACCAGGGCAATTCCATGTCACTAGCCAAATAATACAAATTGTCCCATAATTCTAACCTCTCTAATGCACAACATTTAGCATAGACAAAGGTCATCATCATGTACTTACCTAGTTCCCTATGATACACTCTGATTGTCAGCATTTGGTCAGTGTCAATCAGTACATCAAACTCCACCAACGCATCAATGAACAACCAAATCTTTCCATTAACATTTGAAATAGCTGCTTCCACTCCCACTCTCCTTCTATACTTCTGAATAAATCTCTTCTTCTGCTTGGGCTCCATAAGTGCAACAATAAAAAATCCATGCTCCTTTTGCATATTGATAACTCTTTGAAAGGCCTGTTGAGTTTTGACAGACCTTATGTTCCAAATTAGTGTTTTGATCTTTATCTCGACACTCCCGAGGCTGCCCTCCTGGGCAGTATTCTTGTAGGTTGTAATTGTTCTTTAGGTTGATTCTTCTTCCCCTTCTTTCCACTTCTACTAGCAGCTGTAGGAGAGACATCTCCTTCTTTCATCACTCCTTTAAAATTCTCAGCTGTAGACTCCTCATCACCTTCTTCTTCGAATTGATATTGCTGCTCCACCAAAGCATTCTGAACCTCCAGAGGTACCTCCTAATGAGTTATGATGTCATGTAGTACTTGGTTAGGTGTCTTCAATGGGACATTGATTTTGATTTGTAATGGGGAGCCCATTCCTGATGAGCAGGCAATTGGTAAAGAATCCCCTTCTTTTGGAACTATAGCCTTATCACCCGGATCATATTGCGCCAATGCAGTATCCAAATTGCCTGAGTCAATCCCGTGCCTGTTTAGACCGTCCCGTGCCTGATTCGTGAAAACAGGCCCGGTACGTGAAGGTTCGATCCCGTGGCTACTAATCGTATCTCCAAGCTTCTCCTTCATCAATTTAAACTGCAGCTCGTACACAGCGCTAAGGCTAGGGTCTACTGTAGCATTAGTTGAAACAACTTGCGACACCGTTCCATTGTGACTAGGAACACCTCCATCATGCTTCTCCTCCACAGCATAGATAGGAACCCCATCGACAAATGCCAAAATTTCTCCAGTTTTTGCAGAAGTTACTTTTCCATTGCCTTTATCATAGGCCAATGTTGTAACCTCTACTCCCTCCTGTTTTCTAGCTTCTTTTGACACTCCTGAGCCACCTCCAGTAGAGTTTACTATTTGCAGCTTCCTAGAATTCAAGCTACACTCAACCCTATTTTGTGAAGGGGTTAATGTAGCAGCTACAGTATTTCCAGATTTTACACTTTGTATGTTCTCCTCGTCTTGTTTGTTTGCAGTTTTGTTTATTGCCTTCTTTTGACCTTCCATTGCCTCAGCTTCTTCTCCCCATGTTACCTTAGAAGAATTAACCTCAATCCCATCATCTCCTTGCCCAGAATCCCTATAAGTTTGAGAGGGAATCTCATGGAAAGAATGATTAGTAGTAACATTAAGCTGCCTTAATTCCTCCTTATCAGCCCCAAACCTCCTATGCACCCACTCAATAGTTGACTCCTTGTTAGGAATGGGATCAACTACATCTAGGTCTTCTCTAGAATTATTTGGAGGGATCTTACTAGAGCTAGGATTGTCTCCTATCAAGGCCTTCTCCGCCGCCTCCTTTTTCACTCGTATTAACTCCTTCTGCTCCACCCCAACCCCAGTAGGATTAAGCTTAGAAGTTGCCTCCACATTCTTAACTTCTCTCATCTTTTCCTGTAACTCTTTGGACTTCTTTTGAACTTGTTCTTTCTTTTTACCATTGCCATGATCTTCGCCTTTGCCCTCCGTTATTTGAAGAGGGGGATTTGAATTTCCTCCACCTCCAGTGCATCAAATTTATTCTTCATTGTCATCTCCTCTACTTTGCTCTTCCCTTTTTCTTTGTTCGCATCTTTTCCAGCTTTATCACCAATAATGTGTCCTCTTTTATCCCGTTGATACTTGTTTTTCCTTGCTTGCATCCATTCTTGTTTAGCTGGATTAGGAATAGAGTTCCCAAACACCCTACCACTTGATAACACCTTAGTCGAGTTTGCATCAGTACCAATCTCATTAGATGTCACCAGTACTTACTGTCCCTTACCTTGCTCCTTCACTTCATTATTTGGTTCTTCAAATCTCCTCAATTCCGGATTAATCACCCAGCATTCCTCTTCCTTATGTCCTTGTTTCTTACATGATTGCAGTACTTAGGCATATAATCATACCTGATTTTTATCCACTTAAATTCTTAAGGCCCAGTCTCATCTTCCTCCTCTACAATCTTGATTCTTTGAGGCAAGTTGGCCATTAGGTTAACCTCAACCTTCACCTTTGCACAGCTTGGTCGTGTACCATTTTGTGTAGCCAAGTCCACATGAAGTGGCCTCCCTACTGCCCTTGCCAATGAAAATACAAACTCCCTCCCAAAGAAGTTAGGAGGTAAATCTTGAAAGGATATCCAAGCAATAGCAATTGGAGTCTCTTCATCAACTTTCCACCATGGATTCCACTTGGTGCACCTCATCTGCCACATCTCGTTCTGGATTTTCAAGTAGTACGCAGGCTTTGAAAGAAGATGAATATAATCCTCCATTAATGTAGGCTTGATCAACATGTGACTTTCTTCAATCAATCCAACGGAACATGGCCCTTTTAACTCACATTGAATTGGGAGAATTTTACGTAATTCATGAATACCTGGTTTCCCATATGAGAACTTGTCCAAGACTGCCAGATTCAATCCCTGTTGAGCAATGGATTGCCTCATCTCTTACTTCTTCCAACGAACAACGGGCTCTCCATGTAGATACTCGATTGGTTTTAGGGCAACAGTCGTCGTAGGTTGCATGGGGGCATTTAATATACTAGGTTTTAACAAATTTGCATAGTTTTGTGGTGTTGTTTGGATTGTAGATGGAAGGGGGGCTGTTGTAGATGGTGAGGACGACTGCCCACCATTCATAGAGGGCTGGGCAGTGGCCGGAGTGGCCATCGCCGTGTTTCTCTCTCTAATCGCCTCAAAATCGCCAGAGCTTCTCTCTCTAGAGCTCGGCGTCGTGGTTATAAAGAAGAAGACTTTTTTTTCTTAGAAATCCACTAGGCATGGCCTAGGGCTAGGTTTTTATATATATAAAATAAAATCAAAACATAGTTTGTCCGGGGGTCTAACAAAATGAAAAGCATAAACTTCGAGAGCTACATCGAACCTATTACCAAGATTGAGCATATTACTCAACCTTGGTATCACATAGTGACTAAACTCTAAGAAACTAATTCTACCAGCTCTAATGCTATTATGAATGTCGAATGCTGTTGCTACGGTCTTCATGTGTTCCTGTCCTTCTTGGTGTTGTATCAATCCCATTGTTATCCCACAGCTACTCCAGATGTGCTCCATGTACCAAACTCTCCATTTGAAACTATGCAATAGATTAAAACTTTCTGCTTCTAGATGCCCGCTTGCCTCTTTTGTGTTCCCTTTTGCGCCTAAATTATTGTTGTTGCTGCTTGATTTCCCTTGCTTAATCCCTTCCCTGTATGTCCAGCTCCCATGTGTTGTGTTGCTCCCCTGTTCCTGAATTTTGTACATGCCCGCAAAACCTAGCCAAGATTGCCATGTGAATTGCCACATTCCCGCCATTTCCAGCTTACTTTTTCTTCGATCCTTGTCGTGATTGTTGCCTTTGAATTTGCTTTGCCTGTTTGTGCATTGAGACCCTTGGGCATTAAAGGTGTGTTTTTGAATTTGGCTCCAAAATTCCCCCACATTGCCCGCTAATGATGGCCTCCCAATGATGCTTGATCGATGGTGTTTTACTTCCTGGGTAATGTGATTGCCATTTCCATTTAGATCTTCTATGGTTATGATCATCCATGCTTTACTCACACTGGGTTGAGTACCAAGTACTAATACCACCAGTTGTGAGCTCCACATGTCATGATACATTCCCATAGAAAATGTATAACCTGCCACGAAATACCCTGCAATGATAAGCTCTAATACCTCTATTTCCTCCTCCTGTTGGATTTGGATGTAGGTGTCTATGTTGTGATTCTCCTTTTTATCTGAAAATCCTGCCTTAGAATGTGCCTGGCTCCCTGTATGAGCTTTCTTTGTTTGAACTTCAGCTCCTGTAGGTTTCCCTAGTTTCATCCACTTGGTAACAAGTGTCAATTTTGGCTTCCTACAGTTCAAATTGTTATGTTTAGAGTCCTGATGTGTCCAATTCATTGCTCGTTTGACAGTGTCTTGCAGTTAGCCCCTTGCCTAGTGACTTAGAAGTCTGCACTGAAAAATGCCCATTTCCCTTAAGCATTCTGGGCATCCCTTTGTTTGTTTGCTTCCTTTGATTAGTACTCATGCCTACCATGCCTTCTCTTTCAAGGGAATGAGTAAATACTACAAATACCACCCTTAGAAATTGAAAAACAAGGTAGGATCTTAGTACCTCCTCTTGACCTGGAAAAAAGAAACCAAAGTTAGTGAAAATAACACTTACCATGTTCTCCTCTTCATCGATTTGAACATGGTAATCAGATCCTGATCCTCCACCTAGCCCCTTCTCTATATCTGCCATCACCCTCCCTATCTCTTTGCAACCCTTATCCTTAAATTTGGGCATTGAAGTTTGTCCACATTGATAATTCTCCTGCTTTGAACATCAAGCTCCCAGAAGTTGAAGCCTTCAATATAACCATTGTCTAAGGCTTGATTGGCTAAGTGATCTGCCAATTTATTCCCTTCTCTAAAGATATGGGAGATCATTACATTGCATCCTTCCTTCAACCTTCTGATCTCTTCTATTATTTCTATAATATTCCATGGTGGTTTCCATATTCCCTCAATGATGTTCTTCAGCAGCATAGAGTCCGTTTGAATCCAGATATTCTGAAATTCCATGGCTTTACACATTCTCAATGCCTCCACCACAGCTTCAGCCTCTGCAGCATTATTTGAACCTTCCTTTATCTCCCTTCCTAGAGCATGTTTGACCCCCCCCCCTCTGAATCTCTTAACACCACTCCAATAGCACTTCTTCCAGGATTTCCCCTTGATGCACCATCAGTATTTACTTTAATCCAACCATCTTTAGGCAGTTCCCAGAGGACCTTCTCATATCTAAGTCTAGGAGTGTAGTTCTCTAGCCTAGATAACAGATTCTGCCATCTGTGAGGAACAATTAGCCCAGGCTTCCTTGTTTGAACCAGCAATTGCAATGCTGTAGAGATTTGATAAATAACTCGATTGACTGATACTGCATCCCCATGCTTCAATGCATTTCTCCTCTTCCATAATTCCCAAACAATACAACCTGGAAGAGC